AGGGCACCCCAAGACAACACTGGCCTTCTTGGCCACAGGGGCAAGCACTGGGCTAATTACCTATTTGCTGCAAAGGGCTAATTACCTGTTTGCTGCAACCCTCTTCTGTTTTTCATACAGAGGGTCTGTCCAAACCACGAGCACAGACTGAGAGGACATAACTCGAACACTTATGTCTTGTGCCACCTCCACCTCTTCCTCCTCTGAAATGGCAAAGGAAAATAGCAAGTCAATAACAAGAACACCAGACATCTCTGTAAAAAAGCAATTGTCTTCCCCTGATGTTTCAAAAGGCACACAGCACAGATATGTAACAAAGATTATAGTAATTCCTGTATAATGTACATTTCCGAGCATTTCAAATGCATTGTTTGAATTCAGCTTTTATTTTTTTATGGTATACAGGACAGAAAAAAAATAAGTTCTAAAAGGAAGAAATACAGTCATAGAAGGAAATCACTGAATCATTGAAAATGCACTCACTGAAGGAAAAGAATAAAATCATTGAATCATTTTGAAATTATCAGAATAGTCTTGCAAACATTTTTATAAAACTTTAACCTGAAGTTAAACTAATTTGATTTTCTGAAGTATTCTGATAGTATTGTAGATAGTTTGAAGTATTTTTGTGAAGTTTGATTTTCTATCTGTTCATTAAAGTTATTCCAGTTACTTCTGCTCTAGGGACTTCCTGTGAAAGAGATTTATTACTCTTCTTATTAATGCGACAATGACTATTCCCAAGTATCTAAAGGCATAGAATACATAGGGTGCAACATCCCAGGCGCATCTAAGGGAAGAATAGTATTTTAAAAATGATGACACCTCATGAAAAGGATCAGTAAACTCAGGAGTATGCAGCACTAGGACACCGTCATTTTTATGTACTGGAGAAGGGCTACACAAGTTGCAGAGTTTAGCATTTGTCACATAGCTGCTCTACTGTTTTTTGTAGATCTGGGGATAAGGAAAAGCATTTCCTTGTGATTTAAAGCAGAAAACTCTATCACTTGGACTGCAGGAGGTACAAGGTACAAACTTTTCTCTGTTTTCAGCTCAAATAAAAATTCAAGACACAGAGCTTGTGCTGTCCCTTCCATAGTCCACAGTGTGATTGCACAGCACACTTCACTGGTATCAAGCAAGCACTTGTTTGAGTTTTATCTTTGTATATTTTCCATAATATTTCTAAGTTTGGTTGTATCAAATTACTGTATGACTGACACTCCCCAAATAAGTATTTTTCATCTGTGTCAGAACATTTGAAACCCTCTGTAACCCCTGTAATAGTCTCATTGTAATGCAATGAGGTGAGATGGTGGCCCAGGCAGGGAGATGACTGAGCCTCGTGGATCCTTTTTAACCTCCATTACAGTGTGCAGTGTTTTGCTTTCAAAGCAAGAGACAGTTTCTGCTGCCCAGACCCAACCACCTGCAGATAAACCCCCCATGACATGAGGCAGAGACTTGGCAAAGACGGACACAGTTCGGGAAGCCCTGGCAACTGATCCTGACTAACTCCTCTCCTGTGGTCACTGCAGCGCTTTAGGTCTGCCAAGAGGAGGAGATTTATATATACATATATATGTGTGTACACAATAACCAACCAACCATGTTGCAACCGATTTTATTAAGTCCTGCTTGAGTTAGAGCAGCAGAGACATCCAGCAGGCCCTGTGGTCCACAGAGAAATACCTAGTGGGTCTTGCCCCTGAGAACTTAGTCCAAAATCACAAAGCTAGTTCTTTTCAATGAAATGGTCCCATGACTTGATGGTGGATGTGAAAGAAACATACCTGTGACCTTCCTCTTAATTAAAGATGATCTATATACAGGTTGACTCCGTCCTTGGGAGTTTCTTGATGGCAGTGAAACCACATGAACTGACTCAGAGGCTGTACATGCGAGAAAAAAAGTAGGCTTTTCTGTAACCTTTTTCACAGCAAACAAAAATTCATAGCAAAAAGTTTACATTTTTTTTCAGGCAAAAGCCTGTTTTATTCCTTTCTGTGACAAAAAAGGAGAAGCTTCTCAGAAAGGTAACTTACGTGGATTCACAGCATCTATCTCAGAGATTTGAATTTGCATGTAGCAAGAACAATAGACCTCATATTTTAGAAGTAGAATAGCACATTATTAACAAGGAAAAAAATACAGGAGTCCATCACTGTAAGTCTGAGTATCTCTCATGATCATTTCTTCATTCTCCCTCTTGGAAAGAAAAGTAGCATAAAAGCAATGAAAACAAGAAGTAGGTGCTTAAAAACACATTCCATAATATTTCTCATCAAGATTAAGTACTTTACTGAACTCTTACTAAAAGTGGTAGACAAGATTTCTATTGACTGCATTGATCCCTGGGCATCAGGGCATCTCCGACTCTGCACAGCAGTAGCGCACACAGAACATAAAGTGTATTGGGGAGTTTCTTGCACATACTCATGAGGGGCCAGGCTTTGGGAGTCCTTTGGGAGTGGAGAAGGAGGACCAGGAGGCAGCAGGAGACAGCAGCTGAGCAGAACACCTCTGGGTCTGTCCCCCTGCATACAGTGACAGGACAACAGCATCTCTATGCCTATACCACATCAGGACAATTTAGTTTCATGGTCACAGACTCCCTTTATAGCTACTATCCAGCAGTAGCTGGAAACTGCTGTCCAGCTGCTGGACAGCAGAAACGGCTGAAGAAACTCAGAGCACAAGCAACAGGAGAAGTAGGAAACAGAAACAAGGCCACCATGGAGAGCCTCAGACCACAGAGGGTACTGGATTTCCAACACGAAATTTGCACGGATGTGGAAGAACTGGCAGGCACCATATGCCTCTTTCCAGGGATGATCATTGCATAGAAAGATGAAAAAGTGAAGGAATACTAGAAAAGGAATAAAAAATGAGTAGGAGATTTGTGTTAGGGGAAGTTCTAGAACTCTGGAAAAACTGATAAACACGACTAAGGACTTTTCTCTTTCTGGCCAAATTGAGATAAAGATTTTATTTTTATACAAAAAGCAGAAGAGGAAATAGATACTCACATTTCAAGACCAGGAACTCTGGCAGCCACATGTAATTTTGGAATCACCATTCATTTTATAATCTAAAACCAGACCACCCATGGGATGAGTTTCCCGCTTATATGAGAGATTTAGGGGGAAACAGGTTTAACCTTAAGCAAATGCATCCAAACAGCAAAAAGAAGATGAAGCTTCTAGGGAAAAGATCCAAATAACACTTAGGAGTGGACATCTTTCTCAGAGCAGGCTAGAGAAACTTAGGCAGCCAAAAAGAAACAGGACAGCCAGTGAAATCTGGGGATGACACAAACAGCACAGAGGGAAATGCTCAGCCTCTAAGGAAACAGAACTGTTGCAGTTAGCTGAGAAATTCTTTAAATACATGACAACACCTAGGGCAAAAGTGCAAATCACTACAGCATGGCGGAAAGAGGGAAAACATAGAATGAAAACACAGTAATGTAGGATCTATGATCGACAAGCAGCAACAAGGGATGAGACACGTGCTTTTTGCCTGGAGAGCATCCCTGTGAGCTACTGTGCATGAAACGATACCAAACCAACTGATGGGCCCATGCGCAAGGGTAGCCTGCCATCAGCTGAACTACATGGCACAAGGGAATTTGGCTTACCCAGCTTTTTTGCTTCCTGGTTCTGTCGCTCTTGGGGCATCGGAGCGTAGCTCATCCTTCGGCTGCTCTCTCCATACCCACGGAGGTAACCTTGGGATCTGCTGCGTGGGCCCCTGAAGCCTGCTCCATACGATGGTTTCCACCGAAATGGTGACCTGCCGTCTGGGGACCGGGCACGTGCCCTCAGAGCTCTGCTTGGCATGTCCTTCTCTTGAAAAAAAAAAGCAAACACACAAAGCCCATCATGATTACTACGAAGCATGTGGCATGTACAGCAGTTAAGTCTGTTGCAAGCTTATTTATGAAATAACACAAGAATAAAAAGCATAATTTTCTACCTCTTTAATTTTGCTATGAAGTCCAAAAAGTTTTTCAAGCGGGATATACAATACTCAATAGCTTCTTTCCGAGGCACTTCAGACAGACTGGTGCAAGGCATTCGAAGTGAAAACATACCATAATACAAGGATGCTTGCCAGAAACTCTGGATGTCTTGCAGCTTTCCTGTTTCATCTTTTCCCTTTTTCTTAATCCCCTTTCCATAGTACAGGCATACTAGTACACTGCTTTTTGGCAAGTGCTAAAGGTCACTGTAAAATGAAGCACAGAACTATACCTCTATTTTTAAACTTTCATTTAGAGTCATCTACATTAAAAGCAGGTTCGCTTCCCCTAATCCATCACTAATGGTTCTGCTTGCTGACAGCCTCACGTTCAACAGGTCTGTCTGTACATGCTTCAACTCTAGACTTTTAAAGTTCAGAATCACAAGCTCCCATTATACAATCCCTCAAGCATCCAGCACTGCAGCAGGTACCTTACACAAGTCATTTGCTTTTACATTTGCTGACAAATTAGCATCTCTCTTTTACAAAGCAAGACTGATGCAAGGATAATTCAAGTAATGCATCTGCTTGCTCTGAACAGTTTTTCCAGTTTCTGTGCTGTTCTCCACCATGTACAAACTGCACCATGCTAAGTCACAGGCTGCAAACAGAGCCAAGGAGAAGGAGAAGGAAGAAGGGTGCTCACTGCATCAGCTATGACAGCTGTCTCCCAGGCCCTTATTACAAGTGATGAGACGAAAAGTGCTAATCAGCAAGCACTGATCAGTCACCAAGTCAATAAAGCGTCATGGTGAAGAAAAAATGTCTTTACACTAGGCACTCAAGAACAGGACTCCCTCATTCTCTCTGGGCAATGGCATCCCGGGGACGCGTGAGCTGCCAGCAGAGAGCTTAGGCACTGTGGTGTAACCCTCTCACTCACTGCCTAGGCTGCTTATTGCAACTGCAGCAATGCTTACCTTGAAAAGAATAGAGACAGTCTCAGATGGAAACATCTGCCAGCCACAGAGACGCTGACAGGCAGCACAAGAAACCTTGGCCATGGTGACCTAGCTATGGGAGACGTCTCTGCCAGGCCCTCTGTGCCAAGCGAGCCTGCGCCCAGGTCAGGAGCTCATATCTATTCAGGGCAGTGCTTGAACATGCATTTGACTTTAAGAACGTATTTATGTCTGCATGTCCTTATGCACGCTGAAAACAGGTCTTCTTTAGTATTCCCACCTAACGGCAGCTCCTTTTTGAATCAAGCTGTCCTTCACAAGCCCTGGGTCTTGATGTGCTGACAGGGCTGCACAGGAAGAGTGCTGAAGCGCTGGAAAAGGCTGCCCAGGGAAGTGGTGGAATCACCATCTTGAAGGTCTTTTCCAACCATAATGATTCTTTCTTCCTTCCACTAAATCTTCTTCTATTAAATTATCCTTTGGAAGGGCCTATAGTGATTCTCAAAGATCTCCTTGAGAATCTGATGAAAAATGTTGAGTTTCATTGCTGATAGGACATATAACACAACCAGAGAAACAGTACCCTCCCTAGGAGCTCCAATTTTCTACTGAAACACTAGGCAGAAGCTCAGGGAGGGACAAACCTTGTCTTTATATTTTGCCTGCAGAGAGACAGATCATCACTTTAAATGTGTGGACTTCAGCAGCTTCTCTCTTCCGGCTACTCCCTGTTACTCCAGGAAAACAAATCCTCTACAAACCCTGATTAATCAGCCAATTAAGCCAGGTTTACAGATGCAAAAACATCTGGATGGATGTTTTATAAACAATAAAATACTTTTTGATATACAAGAAGTAGGGTTGCTTTTATGAGGTTCTCTTCCTGCTTTCCAAGGAACATAAGCATGCACCTAAAAACTCCTGCTCTCACACAGCTTCTTTTTTCGCTCTCCTGAGCAGCTGCATAATTTGGGTTTCAAAAGCCTACTAGTGGATACTGTTCATGCAGGTATCCACCTTCCACTTACAGTATCACCATGAGAACTAGAAAGCAGACAAAATTCCAGCTGGAAGAGCTCCAGAGGTCTTGTCCAACCTCCTGCTCGAAGAGCACCAACACACCCAGGCCAGCTCTGACTTTGCCAAGCTGTTACTCTATGGATGGAGATTGTGCAGCCTCTCTGTGGACTTGCTCCAGGACCTCTCCCACCTCACCAGCCTCTGAGGGTGAAATTTTTCCTAAGGGTCAGCCCAAATCTCACCCTTTTTGCACTACCTGCCACCACCAGGGGCAGCTGGCTCTGACGTCAGGCCTCTCCAAGGAGCTGTCAGCTGCTGTGGGACCTCCTCTCACCTTCCTCTGCCACCGGTACCCCCAGCCCTGGGCAGTGAGGAATAGCAACCTCCCTTGACCTGTAGCCACGCTGTCCCCAGCGCACGTTGGTGACTCTGCAAGGAGCCTGCGGGCTCAGCGTGGCAGGAAGCGAAGCTGCAGTCGATCAGCTGTGCTTTACCAAAGTCGCAGCTTTCCAACTGGAATTACAATAAAGAATTGTCAGGGAAAAAGGATACAAAAGGAACCAACCCAGCCAGAAAGCCATATGGAAAGCATTCAGCTTAAAACAAATGTGGCTTTGGGCAAAACAAGTTTATCGGCTCTAACGCTGAATGAAGAGGATTGGCAGGGCTAAGATTTTAAAAACAGGACTTTCAATTACTGTCCTTGTGGTAGTACCATGCTTTACTGCACATTTCTTCAGTTTCATTAGTTCACTTTTGATTTGTGCTTACTTACTGCAGTTTGATCCCAGGTGTCTGAGGGCATCAAGGATCAGAGCATGGTTCAATTAAATAACTTCACTGGTAAGTGTGGACTCACCAGAAACAATATTTGCTTCTGAGTAAAATGTGCACCACGCTTGACCAGAAAGGGATTTTTGGTTAAAAACAAAGCAAAACAGAGGGGGACTTGCCCCTGTTGCTGGAGCTAGCCAGAAGCCTGGGAGCAGGCCAGCTGCCCTGGGCTGCAGCTCACGGCCCTGACCGCAGCCGCACGGAGGTGGAAGGGGGAGTCGGGCCTACTCGGTCTCACAGGAGACGTCACAGAACCTGCGCTCTCCATCCACCAAGACACTTGCCACTCTTCAAGCCCCTCAAGGAACGGAAAGTCACTGCTTCCTGCCGTCACAGCCCACTTGTAGATGCGTTCTGCTGTCCCAATCTTCCTCTGTAGTATCAGCTCCAGCAAATAGTCTAGATTGTCATGGGAAGGATAACGCTGGGACTGCAGATGTTGAGTGACAGGAATAGCTCATTGCGGCCCAACACTTGATCCTGCAAATAGTTGTCTGAAGTAAGCAATACCACTTAGGAGAGAAAAAATAAATCTGACCCGTAATTCCAAGTTATTCAGTCCCCAAATTAGCCCTTTCTGTAAGGATCCTGAACCACAGTTTTGTTCAGCTCACAGTTAAATGAAGAAAGAACTAGATGATGCTACCACAGCAGGCCAAGCACTAGGGGACACATTCCATGTCACTAGGATCTCATCATTCATTGCACATTCAGGTGCTTGATGAGAATCGGGACTTGGCAAGATCTGAACTTGCTCAAGAGCCTGTGTGACAGATTTTGTGCCACGTTGAGCTAAAGCAAAAAAAAAAAAAAGCCTTTTGAAAAATCAAGGTGTCACTTCAACCTTAGCTTAAAGGAGATGAAGTAATGAAGAAAAGTCCAAGAAAAGGAGAGGTTGAAACAAGTGATATAAAAGTTAGTGAAAGAACTACCGTAATAACATTAAAGGTGACACAGAAACAGGAACAGAAATGGTAATCTGATGTGGACTGGAAGGAAACATAGAGCTGAAATTGAGAAAAAGGTAAGGGATAAGTAGAATGAATGGAAATGAGAGACAGATAATACCATGCAGAGCTGGAGCCATTGGGAGAATGCTGAGCTTCATCCACTTCCAACAGGACAAATCCTTCAGCCTCTTCCAAACAGATGAAGGTCATAAAAATTGCTTCACTTAAGCACAAGTACCCACCAGATATACAAATACACCAACCTTTGCCAATGGAAGGACTCAACATGAAAATTAAACTCCGCAACTAGCCCACCTCTCACGTGGCAGGATAAGCAAGTTGCATTACTCCAAACTCCAATACCACAACTCCATCCAGACCTGGTGAGCCCAACCCAGCCAACTGGGCCTGGGACACTGTTTCCTTTTAGGGGCCCTCAGCAGTGGGGGACATTTCCAGCCCTTCCCTGAGCTGCAGTCTGATCCCACCGCTCACCTCTTCCTACCACAGATCTCTCGCGATGGTCTGAACTTTGGAAGGCTGCTGGGATCCTCAGAGAAAGATGGTTCTAACAGATCCCACAGATCCCAAGACAAGATTTCAGAGCAGCATGAAAACTGCACAACTGACAACTATTACAGTTCCTGTGGCCTTCAGCAGTTAGCATCCTATGAAAGACGTTAGATCCGATGCTTTTTAAAACCATTCCAGATTCCAGCTGTCTGCTTCCCATCTAATATCTACTCTGGCACCTCAGCAAGTCCATTGGACTTCAGCAAATTCTGGATGAGGTCCCAGAACAGCAGCAATGAAGAGACTGGGTCTTCAAACCCCTTCACTCCCAACCCTTTTTCTACCTAGAAAATATTAGGATTAACAACCAAGTGTTTAGCAGAACTGAAGATTGATTCTTCTTTGCCTCCTCACTATTTGTCCCTTTTGATATGGTTAAGTTTTTCAGTATTGATTCCAAAACTGATTTAATTAATAATTCTATGGACCTGCACTCTAGATAAAATAAATCAATCTGGATACATCTTAAGATCCCATTTAAATAATTTCCTGCAATTACAATAAAACTAAATCCTTTTCTACATTTAGGGTAGCAAAGGTGAGTT